TTCAAAGCTAATCGCTGATCTCCTAAAATCCACGGATATCAGCGAGCATTATATAGATAATATTGCCATCGCCACGTATCTATCGCCACGTATCTATTTCCTAATATAGATATCTCCGTTGCGCCTATTACAGTACGCCTGTTACACATTTCTTTCAATTCATAATTTATATTTAATAAATTAAATTTTAAAATCTCTGACTGCTCTGAGTTGTGAATATATGAAGAAAATAACTCTTTTTTTTTTTTCAATCAAATTGTTCAATTACTTTTTTCTTATAATTATTCTCTTTAAAAACAATTGAGAAGCTACAACATCATATTTGAGTAGTAAAAAAAGCAATATAAAATATGAAAAATATATTCAATTTCAAATCATCTCATCTGAGCAATTGATTGCACAAGATTTTTCAAGGCAGTCTCATACAGATAAAACTCAATGCTATAAAAGAAAGTGAAATTGAGAATTACTATTTTACAATCAAACATTGTAGCATCAAAAATACATATCAGCAGATTTAAATAGAAGATATACTCACTGTGAAAAATGTAAATAAGAAGATCACACAACATAAGAAGAAGAAGATTGAAAAACAACATTATAAAAGAGTTAAGTATGTTGAGAAAGATTTGAAGAAAAACACCATAGAATCAACCCAACAAGAGGTTAATGATATATATGAATGTTTAGTGAATAATACTGCTACTACAGATGATATAGATAAATTAATTATCATAGATTAGCTATGCAGTGTTGAGATATTGATTTTTGAAGTTCATATTATTCATATTTTTATCATTACACTGTTTTTATCGTTACGGTGTGGCGCACCCACATCAGGTGTGGGTGCGCGCGGCACGATTAGAGGCTGCCGTACTTTGGATGCACTGGATAAACACATAAAACAATAAAGTGTCCATAATTGATTGTTTCAAGCGGCAAATGCCGAACAAGCCCACTCCATCAATCATACCAAATCGCATTCATCCCAAACCCCGGCTCCCGCACGTCCAAATGCGCAACACGTGCCAGAAGCTCACCCCGCCAGCGATATACCTCCACGCACCCTTCCTGGTCGTCCGTTAGCGCCAGCCACTCGTCGCTGAAATCGCAGGGGCTGACGGCATTCGAGTGACCGCCGCTCGTCGGTGTCGGGTTGATGAATAGCTGTTTCTCAATATTACCTGCAGCACCCAGGCGGAATGCGCTGATATATCCCGTGACGTCGAAGTGGTTGGAGCGGGCGGTTGCGAAGAGGTGCGAGCCGCTGTGGTTGGTGAACACGACGGCTGAGCGGTATTTCTTGGATGGATCGACGCCTGTAAGGTAAATGGGCTTTAATGTTATGCCTATCTCCATATTTTATCTTTGTTACAAACTTACCTGGAGGAATCAGGGGGTATGTCTTATGCGTAAATACTGGCGTATGTGTCTTCTCATTGATGACATATTCCGCCAGTCGGTTTCCAGCCTCCATCAGCACATACAGGTATTTACCACTAGGGTGCATCTCGACCCAGCGCGGGTGATCGGCGGTTCCTGGGGCCTCAAGGCTGTCGACTAGAGTAAGTGTTCCGGTTTCTGGATCCTTTTGATGCGTCCATATCTTATTTGCACCCATGTCTGCAGAATAGAGGTAGGTCTCTGCGGGATCGAACACCATACCGTGCACGGTGGAGTGGGGGTCATATTCGTAGTTTTGAATATTTTTATCGAGTTGGCCGTCCGTGGTGACGGAGAAGACGTTTCCATAGCCCGCGTAGTTATAAAAGGGATTTCCATACACATTGTAGGGAGGTTTCTTTGCTGCGAGGACGAAAATGGCTCTGGTGTTTGTATCGGCGTTGGGAGCCAGAGCTGTAGGAATTGGAAGGTTATGATGGGTGAGTGTTAATTCATCTTTGTGTATAGATTTTCTTACGAATCGACGTACGGTGACCAGCTAAGGGGTGCGAAACGCTGTGACTGATATCTAAGGGCCCGTTTACGGAGTGAGACGACCATTTCTTCATCGACGCCCCGTAGATGTTCCTTTTCGTGTGCTGGAGACATCAATGATATGATGCGACGGCCAAACAGTCAGCAACATGCCAGGCCGCACGGAGGGGGGATATATACTAGTATACTAGGATATATCTATATCTTAAATGGTAGGAGGCCTCACGTCAAAAGTCATCCACGAGATAGGCTCATCCTCGGGGATGACCGTTTTCTTGATCAGCTTGAGAGTCAGGCAATCGTCGTCAAATTCCACGGTGTATATATTTCCTGGGGGAGTCCAGGTGCCAATCATTAAATGGTGCTTCATGTTGACGGCCGCAACGGTGCAATCAGACAGGGTACAAACTAGCGAACCGGGTGAACCAATGCAGTAACATATCGATCTAGAAAAGCCAAAATCCGAGCTCCTAAGTTAGTACTAATATGTAGCTTGCCAAAACAACAACCACATCAAGACAGGCCAGAAACCAGAACAAGCCAAGCATGCCCACTCAAGCACGAGGCCTGCTGTTCCTTGCGTATTGGTATTGCTGTTGGTGTTCTCTCGCTGGCTGCCGACACATGATCTGACGCACAGCCGTCGCCGGCAACCACGCTCGGTACTTGCTGCTGAGTCATCCAGCATCTGCTGCCGCGTTGGACACCTCGCCGGCTCAACACTCAACACATGCTGTTGTCTGCTCTGTCCCGTCCATGACGGCGCATACATCATTGCCAGCGCACGAGACCAGGGAGGCAAAATGAGCCGGTCCCCATTGGCCCCGACTGCGTTTTCCCAGTTTGCTGTTCTGCTCTCCGCGATCTGCGAGCAACGGCAAACAGCAAACAACCGAGCAATGTACCGGAGGCTGCTGACCCCAGCTGGCCAGCCCCACGTCGACTCGGATATAAAAAAGCATATCTTCACTGTTAAGGGCAAGTTGTTCCTTATTGAATGCCCCCGCGATTGCACTCCTGGATTTGTTTCTTTTTGTTCTCTCCCTTGCCTATGTTCAACCCGAGCGGATCCGGCTATTTCCTCATACCAGCTTCATCTAGAACGAGACAAACCACTCCGCTCCAGTTCTACCAGGTCCACAAGCCAATATGCCCACCAAAACAAACGGTGCTGGGAGGAACAGGGTCAAGAAAAATGGTGCAAGCATCCCCAAATATGACCCCGATTTCACGTCTGCCGTTATCGACCTCATGGGCCCCAAAACCGCCCCAAGGACAAGACAGGTCTTGGGCTGCCTCATCCGCCACATCCACGACTTTGCTCGTGAAGTCGATCTAACCAGTGACGAATGGCTGATGGGCGTGGACTTCATAAACAACATTGGCCAGATTAGCACTCCCACAAGAAACGAAGGACAGCGCATCTGTGATGTCATTGGGCTGGAAACGTGAGTGTTTCCAAATACTACTAGTACTATTAGTAGTATACAACCCCTTCTACCCTGCTTTACAGAAATAGAAAGTCTAATACAACCTACCAGCCTCATCGATGAAATCAGCCAGGGATTTATCCTAGAATCTGGCGATGACGTGCCCACCTCTTCCTCTATCCTCGGGCCCTTCTGGAGCCCGCACGCCCCCTTCCGCAAACTGGGCGATAGCATCATTCGCAGCCCGCACAATGGCCGAGTCGCCCTGATGAGGGGCCGGGTCGCCGACGCAGTTACAAAAAGAGGCATCCCCAACGCCGTCTTCGACATCTGGCAAGCCTCCTCGAACGGCAAATACGACTTTCAGGACCCAGACAACCAGGAACCCAACAACCTGCGCGGCAAGTTCCGCACTGGGCCCGACGGCTTCTATCATCTCTATATCCTCCATCCGACCCCTTACTCGTTGCCCACTGACGGACCCGCGGGAGTCCTCTTACAGCTGATGGACAGGCACCCCTTCCGCCCCGCGCATATCCATCTGATGATCACACACCCGGAGTACAAGAGCGTCACGACACAGATTTTCCCGCGTGACGATAAGTATCTGAGTAGCGATACGGTGTTTGCGGTGAAGAATGATCTGGTTGTAGACTTCAAGCCTCTTGAGGGTGATCCCTTAGCTGAGTTGGAGCTCGAGTATACAATCTGGCTGTCACCTAATAGCAAGGTGGTTTCCAATTTGTGATGATAATGACCTCCTTTCACTTTCATCTTCTCCTTTTCTTCACACAATTCCCCACGTTTTTCAGAAGCAATTTATTTCGATATATGTATATTCGAAAATCTTTTAATAATGATCGGTTCATGGGCGCCTGTGAACATAGTTATATTTTTTTTATTGTACGGTTTTTGCTCATACTGGAGAAGGTATTTGTGGGCCAAAACCTTCAGCCCTCCTTTTTGTCATGCGGGCTGGTTTCAAGTCAATCAATCCTTCCTCTGTCCACCCCGCTTGTAGCCAACTCTTTATTATTTCAAACGGGTTGGCTACCTAGCAAAAATAGAAGGGTCTAACATGGGTAAATCCGCTCCAACCCACACCTTCGAAATAACCTGATTCACCCAATTGAATGAGCCGCCTTTTTTCTCCTATGGATGTTATGATATGATCCTCCCAAAGACGCCAGATGAGCTTTGATGGACAGTGAGCCGCGGAAGCTGGAGGCAGTGATTGTGGAAGAGGTTGGTAGAGCAGACGAGACGCTTGATATCATTTTTAGTTCTTGTATTGTATTATTGTTATCTTGCGAGTTATTTCAATGAAGAAAGAGTAATGAAAAACCAGCGTCAAAATCCCGAAAGACGACCACGCACAGTGACCATCCCAAATATCTAGCTAGATACTACAATTGCAATGGAAATTAATTAATTTGTTAAACATCCAAATTTTAACCTTGGTTATCGATTGGTCCATTATACCTTTTAATACACTCTGGTTTCTTTTATTTTCTTTACATAAACCGCTTCCTCGATCCGTTTTCCTGTCGTCTCCTTCATCCCAAGTAAAAATAAAATAAAATAAAATAAAAAGGGGATGATCAGAGGGGAAATGAACAATGAAACCCCATTTTACTTACTCGACAGGGCACTGACGCCAGGCAAGTCCTTGCCCTCCAACAACTCCAACGAAGCCCCCCCACCAGTCGACACATGGCTCAGCTTATCCTCAGCATGATACTTCGCCGCAACCGTCGCCGTATCCCCACCGCCAATAATGACGATCTTCCCCTGCTTGACTGCCTCAATACACGCATTCAACATCGCCTTTGTCGAGCCCGCAAACTTGTCAAACTCAAACACACCGGGCGGGCCATTCCACAGAATCGTCTGTGCCTCCCCGATAGCCGCCTCGAATAGCTTTACGCTCTGCGCCCCAAAGTCCAACCCCCACCATCCGTCCGGAATCCCCTCCTCATCCGTCTTGTACTGCACGTTCGCATCCGCCGCGAAGCGGTCGGCCACGACGTGGTCGACGGGGAAGACGATGCGGACGCCGTTCCGCTCCGCCTTGGCCATGATGTCCGGCACGAGCTTGCTGCCGGGCTCGTCGAACAGGCTGCTGCCGATCTTGACGTGGTGCAGGACCTTCTTGAAGGTGAACGCCATGGCGCCGCAGATGACCAGCGTGTTGACTTTGTCGAGCAGGTTGTCGATCAGCTGGATCTTGTCTGAGACCTTGGAGCCGCCGAGGATGGCGAGGAAGGGCCGCGTGGGGTTCTCGAGCGCCTTGGCGAAATATTCCAGCTCCTTTTTCACGAGGAAGCCGGCGGCGCGCTGGGGGAGGTTGACGCCCACCATGGAGCTGTGGGCGCGGTGGGCAGTGCCGAAGGCGTCATCTGTAGTGTTGAGAGTTTTGTTTGTTAGAAGATGTATATTTTATGCAACGGTCGGTGAAATTGAGGACAGGAGGAAGAAGAAGAAGCAGAAAAAGAAGACAAAAAAGCCAAAGAAGAAGATCAAAAAAAAAAAAAAAAAAAAAAAAAAAAATCGGTGGAGGATTTTGGGCACATACTAATGTAAATATCCCCCAACGCAGTCAGCCCTTTCCGGAACTCCTCCACCTTCGCCGGATCCGCCTTAACCTTCTTGCCCTGCTCATCCTTATAGCTGCCCTCCTCCTCCGGATGAAACCGCAGATTCTCCAACAGAATCACCTGCCCGCCGCTGGCCTTATTAACCGCCTCCTCGACCTGCGCGCCGACGCAGTCCTCCGTGAAAATCACAGAGCGGCCACCAAGCAGCTTCTCCAGCTCGGGCACGACGGGCTTCAGGCTGAATTTGGGATTGGGCTTGCCGTCCGGCCGGCCGAGATGGGACATGAGCACGACGGCTTTGGCGCCGTGGTCGATGGCATATTTGATGGTTGGAAGCGCTCCGACGATTCGTTGGTTGTTTGTGATGTTCTTGTCCTCGTTGAGGGGGACATTGAAGTCGACCTGTGTTTGTATGAGGGATGTAAGTTACTGGTAAACATAATTCAAACATGCACTGTAGGTGTCTTAACGGCACACGTACCCGGATCAGCACCCTCTTGTCCTTGAGGTCGACATCAGTGACGGACAATTTGTTAGAGAGAGACATGGTAGCTGTTTGGTCCGTGTTGTTTTTTTGTATGATGTTTTGGACTCGTGGAACTGCCCCTCTTCTATGACACTGTGATTAGTAGGAACAAGTATAGGGTTAATCCTAGAAACAGAAAAGAAAGGGAGTATGTGGACGAACCTGGTGTGCAACGAGTGGAATTGAACGTTGTCTATCCAAGAAAAATCCGAAAGTCCCCGTCGGGGTTATTTGTTGATGAATCGATGGCGGGATTCTTTTTCGTTCCTGGTGGGGTTTGTTGTGCTGTGGCTGCGGGCGGCGTCGGGTTGATGGGAGATGTGATGTCATGACCACCAGCAACAAGCAGCAACTGTGGAAGAATCGTAGATAACGAGTAGGCTTAGTGGAATACAGGGAGATTCACTTTCGTTACATTTTGGTTGTTCTTATTGTTCCTATCGTCCTTGCTTTTCGTTACTATTTGGTGAATGTTTTCGTCAGCGGGGGACGGTTTGGGATTCTACATGTGCAGCCTTAACAATGATATGTCGAGCCACTTCTTGTTGAGGGAAATGCGCAGTAAGTAGTAGTAATGGATTCTAGATATATGCTTAGGAGTAGCTAGATTGTCAGAATTCCTTTTTGTCTTTTTCCAAAAATGCGTAACTGCTCGAATTGACATGCTCAAATCAACCTCGTAACGCCTGAAGGACTCCGGTAAAGGACTGAAACCCCACTGGAACAAAAACCTCAACTCCGGAAAGCAGTAATACGGAACAATCGTCTCTCAATGTATAAGATCAATGGTTTCCACAATCCCAGCCAGGAACTCCAGAATTTAAGTCGAATCACCAGTCGATTTGACTGGCCGCGCATGTCGACCAAACTAAAAACAAGGAGGAAGCCCGAGAGAAGGCTGGACAGAAAATCTCAGACCAGCTAAGCCTGCCAGGAAAGCAAACAACCGGTAATGGTAATGGCGATCGTGCCCAAAAAAAAAAGTCAAGGACTTGTTGTCCGTTAAATACAGGTTAACAGCCAGCTAAATGAAAATCGTGCTCCACCTTCATCTTTCCGTCTAGCATCAGACCGGCTTTCTCTGCCTCTCTCTATTCTTCCTCAGCGGAGTTGGCTAGAGATAGGTATGCTGTCCACGCAATCCCAACGGTGGATACGAATGGCTAGGTAAATTAAGAAGCAAAAAAAAAAGGGACTCAGTCAGAAAATGCCGAAGAACCTCCATAATGGGACATGACGGTGTTCAAGTAGGAAGGTAATACCACTACTCACAATTTGAAACTGGATAGGAATCACGCGGAAATTGAGTATTTGCACCGCCGGCCACAGCATGAAGTTCGCCTTCAAAGTTGGAGTATACACATCTTGCATTTTGCGTACGATCGCTTGTCTTCCCCCGCCCTCTGCCACCGTCATGAATGTGAAGAAGCATAGGAGGCCTGTAATTTTTTTGTCGTGTTAGTTCCCTGGTAAATAGCCAACACGGGCAACCAAGATGTATCTTGTGTATGACACGGAAAAGTAGGATCATACCAATCGGTGCAAAAATCAGCTGATCCATTGCCACCCGCTTCAACGCCGGCACCGTGGCGTGCGTCGTGGTAATCGGGAAGGAGCGCGCCAGGAACCCAAACCACTGGAACTGGATGGGAGCCATGAAGAAGCCATACGCCATGAACCGCGTTAGCCGCTCGAAGTCAAAGGGTGTTGCGAGGTGTCTGGTGTTGTAGGATCCCAGCTCGCCGACCGCGGGCGGCTTTTCCTTATTTAAGCTGTGTATTTCGATGGAGATTAGGTCGTTGTTGGGGTCGTTGGTATTGCTGCGGGAGCGTCGGTGGCTTGCTATGCGTGTCCGTACGGCAGTTATGGATTGAGCTACTGTATCTGCGATGCCACCTAGGACCTGTATTGGTTTTGGAGAGCGTTAGTTAGTTGAATGTAAAAGAAGCGGTATATATATAACGCCGCAGAACGGATCGGATGGAAAGGCTATGACTAGCGATGATGCTTACAGCATTGGTGACCATGGTGGTCAAAACTGGAGATTGGCCAAAAAAAAGTGTTGTTAGCCAAGCTCATTAAACTGCTCCCCAGTGCGTATGGGCATAATCATAATTACCCGGCTTCTCTGCATAGTAGGAGTTGAACTTCGCCGCGAGTCTCATCGTGACTGCCATCTCAATCAGGAGGACAAGAGTATGCAAGAGGGGCTATTTCAGCATGGTCAAGCGGATGGATTATGGGTCAGCCACAGCTCCAGCAAAAATAACAATATTAATTCCGAAGAGGGGAAAAAATTGTGCAAAAGAGGTTTGGGGTCCGAGTATGTATGGTGTTCTTTGGAAGAAGATTCAAAACAAGCAGTTTGCGTGAACTCACCCAGCGGCCATATATATATCGACTGTTCAAGCCATCAAGCACGTTCCGTCTAACTTTGTCGATCATGGCGGATGGGGGAAGGAAATAACAGAGATGGAACTTCCTATTTTACGAAGAAGAAAAGGCTCGCAGGTTTTCGGGCCCATCCAAGGATGACACTGGATTTATGCTTTTGCAGATGACGCAAAGGTTCGGGCGGGTGGGAAAAAGTGGAGGCTGCAATGCTGGTTGCTAGGTCGGCGGTCGCAGTAAACTGGCAACGAACACTGCAGAGAGAAGGATGGAGGACGAGAGAAGGATGGAGGAGGAGGATGAAGGAGGAGGATACAGGAAGAGGTGAGGAAGAGGTGAGGAGGAGCTGAGGAGGAGGCGAGGAGGCGAGGTCTTGAGGCGGTTTGTTGGTGAGGAAGACCCCCAACCCTGGGTATGGATGACCGGTGCAGCGGGAAGCGAGGTGACACTGGGCCCAACAACAACACATTGATTGACTTCATTACAGATGGAGATGTTACTTTTTTTAATTTTAGCTTTGTATATAGCGGTATTCTACAAATTGCACGGGCTTTTTCTGTATGATTCCGGGGTAATTAATGTAGGTATCTAATAATAATACCATTGCATAAACAAAGAGCAGAGAGCACGGAAATGCACCCTCTTTTTATAATGTGTTATCTACATGCATCAGCGGCCGGTAGTCATACAAAGTGTTTTTTTACACATGTCTGTCGAACGATACAATATCCGGCAGGTCTCTTATATCCATTGACTCATTGGTGTTCATATCCACCAGTCGGACAGCTTCGACATGCAGCACTCCTGCAGCCAATGGGAGAAGCTTCATCTCCGTGGAGTGGCATGTACCGGGGGGAAGAGGGCTTATTAAGTTCACTTGTTAATTAGCTGTTTTGTGTACCCAGGCATCTGTGCCATGCACGCAGCGAAGGAAAAAAAGTAAGGTCAAGACAAGAAAGAAAAGAGAAAACATTCGAAGGAGATTTATGAAACTCACCCAACCCTAATATCTGTGCTCAAATATATCACCTCTGTATCATACGGGATCGCATTCTTCTGCATCGCATACACAATATTCTCATCCGTTACTGCCTCCGCAATCTGCTCGTCCCGACGCACACTCGAAACAGACGATGATGACGGCCGGGAAATATGTCTGCTGCGCCGCACATCTGCCCGTTTCCTCCGCGGCACGGCCGCCATGGCAAATTTCCTCGACTTCTCCGACCGGTTGACAATGAATACGTCCCAGTGGAATGGCTTGCCGACTTCGACACTGGATGGTCCCGAGAAGGAGATGGTCACGCCTAAATCGGTAGCAGATGTGTAGCCGGATCGTCGATTCGTGGTTAGTGCTGCTGCGCTGGGGTTAAGGGCTGTTGTTGGCGTTGTACCACCACCGCCACTGCCACTGGCACTTTGACTCGGCGTCATGGGAAGGCTGGCAGGGCGGTTGTTTCGTTGGAGAACTTGGCTAGGCGCGCCGAAGGACGGGTTGAGAGGCAGGGAGAAGTCGACGTTGGTGCGCCATTTCATAGATATCTTGGGTTGGCATTCACCTGATGCGCATATTGTTGCCTCTAGGGAGATATCTAAAGCGTAAACGACCGCGGTGGTGGATGAGGCTCCCTCCATTCCATGCAACGGCGTGAGTTTATATACAAATGTCACATCATCTCGTGGACGGCAGGTTACTGGAAGAGCATATCCGTGATCAGAGGTCAAGCTTTCGACCTGGCCGTCGAAGAGGGTTACATCCGTTTTCTCCAGTATGACGTCGAAATTCGTAAAAGGGGTAACTTCAAAGTCAAGGCTAGCGATTGTCGTGGGTTTTCCGGAATAGGTATTGAGGCGCGAATACCGGATTCGCGAACTGGCAATAGGTATGATACGGAGGGGTCTCTGGGCTATCTGTTGCACACGGTATGATGATGCATCTTGCTGAACGGTTGGAACCACCCTTAACAGTCTCGACGCGGGGAGGAATGGCTGTGGCTTAGACTGGTCGGGAGGGCCGTTTTTTGCAAGGGACTGAAAAACGTTCACAGACCCCGGTATGCCGCTTGGTAGGTACTCATCTTCGTAATCTCCAGATGAAGCATCCAACGGGTTTAAGGTTGCAGAGGCACTAAACACAACAGATGGATGCTGGAGCCGGAGTCGTGGGCGACCTTCAATGAACCTTTATTAGCACACCAATACATTTAATTTTCAATTCTCTCTTTATTCTCTGCTCATCTCCGAAAAAGTAATCCAAGCTGCACTGACTGAGAAAGGTGTCCAATTTCCATATGACATAGACATAGTTTACTACATCCTCCGCGTTTTCGACTTCATTGACAATCACCAGCGGGTCCTCGTCATCACTCACTGTGCCAGAAAATATAACGTCTCTAGCTTGTTGTTGTTGCGCGCCTTCGCTCTCGCCGTCCTCGACATTAATTCCATTGGCTGCATATGCCTCCACTTGGACCGTCAATCGGGATAGCTGAGTTTTCAGGGCATGCTCCGAGCAGTTCGTAAGGCGTAGAACGATATATACAGGGAGAAGTTCATCTATTCAACAATATATCTGAGAATGAGTAAGACTCTTGCATTGCAGCTAGCATTGGAAGGGAGGGGTTAAGTGGTGCAGAGGTTGAAGCTGAACAAACCAAAGAACAGGAGAGAGCGCTGGCGGATTGTAGGGAGGAGCGATGAGGAGTCTTCGATATCTTCTTGACTTGAAGCCTGTAGAGCATCTTCGAGATTGACCTGGGTGGCATAGGGGACTATTGTGTCCAACACTGCGCCATGCAGGAATTCCTCAGGGGCCATATTATTGTATGCAGGTTGTCAAAGTACTAATGCTCGGGACGGGCCAGCAGCACAGACATAATCATGGCCCAGCACTGGTAAGCAAACACTCGTTATCTCGAAACATTGCTGAAGTGGTGAATAATGATGTTGAACAATCTTCGTCAATTAACTCATAAATTCATAGCTATTAACATACCAGCGGTTGACCAAAATGAAGATGCTAGTTAGGAGTAAATTAAACTCTCAGCGTCTATGGTCTCTGCACCCAGCCCTAGTTATTTTTCTGGCACCCATTTTGCATCCCGAGTTGTTGCTCAGTCGCTGCATTGTCCCTTCCTTCATCCAGGAGAGCAGTAGACGGTGGAAGGCTACCCCTCATATATAGCGGTTCGCCTTACCTGAGCTATGAATGTCATGAACGGCATGCCAGCGCCGCCTGCGCTGTGGCAGGAAGCTAGAAATTCCGATGGTAGAGTCTACTACTATAATGTCCAGACCAAGGCAACCCAGTGGACAAAACCACTGGAGCTTATGACTCCTGCAGAGGTTAGCAGATTTTGAATATTATTATCCATTACCCGTACTCAGTTTACTGACGCATATTCAAACTCAACAGCGTGCATTGGCAAACCAGCCATGGAAGGAATATACCGCCGAGGGTGGCCGGAAGTATTGGTACAATACGGAGACGAAACAGAGCTCATGGGAGATGCCTGAGGTCTATAAAACAGCCCTTGCCCAGCAACCTCCTCAACGACCTATTCCTGCGTAAGACTTAACCTCTTCCTTCCCAATTTCATTGCGCCTCGTCTAACTATATCAATTCCAATTCTAGTGCTCCAACCTTCGTTGCAGGTGGCACTGCAGCCTTTCCTACCTACCCCCAACAACGTGAACGAGATGACCACGACCGGGGTGCGTCGGATCGACGTGGCGACTACGGGCCTCCTGATACCAACGGCATGGTGGCAAGATCTACGGTTGGCGCCCAGCAGACTGAGCCAGAATATCCTAGTTTCGAAGAGGCCGAAGCTGCTTTTATGAAGCTACTACGACGGAGCAATGTACAGCCAGAATGGACGTGGGAACAGACAATGCGATTGATCATCAAGGATCCGCAATATCGTTCATTAAGGGACCCAAGGGAGCGCAAGGCGGCGTTTGAGAAATATGCCCTTGAGGTTCGCATGCAGGAAAAGGACCGCGCCAAAGAGAGACTGGCTAAACTCCGTGCGGATTTTGGTACCATGCTGAGAAGTCACCCGGAGATCAAGCACTTCTCGCGTTGGAAGACTATCCGGCCTATTATAGAAGGCGAAACGATATTTAGATCCACGAGTGATGAGAATGAGAGACGGCAGCTGTTCGAGGAGTATGTCATTGAGCTTAAGAAGGAGAATTCCGAACGGGAAGCTGCTGCTCGCAAGGCTGCCAAGGAAGACCTGGCGGATATTCTTAACGCTTTGGAACTGGAGCCATATACTAGATGGGCCGAGGCGCAGGGGATTATCCAGTCGAATGAAAGGGTTAAGAATGATGATAAATTCAAAGCCCTGACGAAATCGGATATTCTAACTGCATTTGAGAACCATATCAAATCCCTAGAGCGAACCTTCAATGACACTCGCCAGCAGCAAAAAGCCAAAAAGGCCAGACGAGAGCGCAAGAACAGAGAGCAATTTATAGAGTTGCTAGAAGAACTTAGGAAAGATGGAAAGATCAAGGCTGGCAGCAAGTGGATGAATATTCTGCCCGTAATCGAGGGTGACCCCCGTTATATCGCTATGCTAGGTCAGCCAGGTTCAACGCCTCTTGATCTGTTCTGGGACGTTGTGGAAGAAGAGGAGAGAGCCCTGAGAGGCCCCAGAAACGATGTTTTGGATGTTTTGGATGTAAGTTATCCCTGCCTTCCCCTTGAGCGAATGTCCTTTTTTACGTTACTTACCTTAACACTGTGGGCAGGATACTCGTTACGAAGTTACACCAAAAACCACTTTCGAAGAATTCAGTGAGGTCATGGCTACCGACCGCCGCACTGCAAGAATTGATCGCGACACCTTGCAGTTGATCTTTGACCGCGTCAGAGAGAAAGTCCTCCGGCGCAGCGAAGACGAGAAGCATGCAGCAGATCGCCATCAACGCCGGGCCATCGATTCCCTCCGCTCACGCATCAAGCATCTGGAACCACCTGTCCGCGCCTCCGACACCTGGGACCAAGTGAAACCTCGTATCGAAAAACTAGATGAATACCGCACACTCGAGACGGACGACTTGCGTCGCATCGCCTTCGATAAAGTCATCCGCCGCCTCAAAGACAAAGAAGAAGACGCAGAACGCGAGCGGGATCGCGCCAGCAGTCGTCGTGAACATTACGATCGTTCAGATCGCTCAGATCGTGACCGAGGCCGCGATCGCGATGCACACAATGGCAGCCACGGGTACCGCAGTGAGCGACGCAGAGGCGCGAGCCCTAGCCGCCTCAGCCACACACCAGAACCGGACGCCTACGAAGCGGACCGGCGCAAAGCACAAGCCGACCGCGAGAGATCCTACCGGAAAGCCAGTGGACTCTCCCCACCGCCCGGACGGGAGCGAGACCGCGAACGTGATCGCGATCGCGATCGCGACGGGGCCAGGGATAGAGATAGAGACCGCGACCGGGACCGAGAGCGGGATAGGCCCAGCAGCCGTCCACTGCTTAGCCACTATGACCGCGACCGGCGTGAGAGGGAGGATGAGCGTGAGCGGCTGTATCGATCCCGCGCGGACCCGAGGAGTAGTCGGGACGAGTTGGATTATGGCGGTGGCAACAGTGGTGCTACTGGCGACTCGGCGGCGCGGAGTACCACGGGAACGGTTACTAGTGAACGCAGGCGGCGTAGGGATAGTGAGACGGATAGCATTGGAAGTCGGAGCGCGAAGCGGTATAGGAGGGATGGGGCAGTGGAGGGCGGCGGGCGGGGGTCTAGGAGGGATAGGGATAGAGATAGAGATAGAGAGCGAAGAGCGGAGCGGGAGCGGGAGCGGGAGCGACGGCGAGAGCGAAAGAGTAAGGGCAGTGCATTCCGGTAGTGAGGAAGGGGAGATTGAGGAGGAGTGACGAGTTATGATTGTAATGCTGCGGAGGGAAGGGAGTGCGGGAAGGGAGTTTATTGCGCGATACGATTTAAGTTAAGAGGGGAATTTCATTTATGTTAGCTAGGATAGGGGCTGATTTGTCGGGAGGAGAGGGTGTTAAAGCTGAACAAGCATGATGTTCGTTGTAAACCCACAGGTGTCTTGGTGTGCAAAATTGGAGAAATATTTCTCCATGTCTGATGTTTTGAAGGGGCTGAGCAAGATTTGATATTCTTCCGAGTACTCTGACACTACCTTTTGATGGGGGCTACATACATGCATTATCTTCTTCTGTTATTGAGTGCATCTGTAAACAAGAACTGTTTGTACTAGAAAACTCCCGAGATACACTCAGATAGATGTCATAGTCTCTGACAATAATAATAGTAATAATAACAGGCATTGTCATCAACTGCCCTTAGAATATACAGCAAGCACATATTGCATTTTTCCAACCAATTTCTAAGGTAGAAATACGTTTTTGCTTCTTAGTTTTGCAGGCATGATAAATATTAACTAATTATTTAATGAGTGGATGATTGAATGAAATGTGAATGTGTGGAGAGTGATGCCTTTTTCGCTTTTCTTTTCTTTTCTTTTCTTTTCTTTTCTGTTTTTGTTGAATTTTCTTCCTCCAGCGGGTCAGCGAAAGTAAAGGAATGGACAAAGGCTATCTACACATGTAGCTAAGTTCAAAGCTGCCCCCAGAGTTCCAAGTTTCCCCCCATTCCTCTCTTGAAATGGGGATTCCTCTTATACAGAACTGGCCCTGCATAGTGCGAGTCAGTAAGTAGGGAGGATGCAGGGCAACTGCGACATCGACAACGCTTCATGTAGCTTCGGCGGGAAGTACCTTTGTTTCGGGGTCCTTTGAAGAAAAACGGGCTGTGTCATGTCTGAGAATGGAGAATCCGACTAGCAAATTTTGTCTTGAAACGGAAGCGTCAGAAAGGGTAGCACCGCCAGACAAAGTAATGGAGGGATTTGCTAAGTAGTTTGAAAATAAATGAAAAAAGAAAGACAAAATGGGGGCAAGAATCAAACAAGAAAAATTTTATGCGTGGAGGATAGAAAGGTAACAACAAAGAGGAGTGAAATTAATCACTCGTCACGTAAATGGTCAGAAAAGCAGAAGAAACATAAGAAAGGGTGGGTATATTCAGCAGTTTTGTTTAGGTAACTTCTCCGTCCTTTTGTTTTATGCTGACGATCAGCTTATTCCCTCCGAATGTAAATCCAGATTGACGGAGAAAATTTCCTCAAATCCCGATCTGTCGTATTTGTAAATGTAAAACCATTACTCCACAGCCCTACTACCACCCATTTCTGTATCGTAGGATGTAGCGATTCCACTAGCCGATGTGTCGAGGGGCGGGAACCATAGGAAATGAAGATTGCCTCAAAGAAAAATTCCCTCTGCACTGAAGCGTTCTGAACTCGGGCTTGACAATAAAGTAGGGGAGCGACAAGAATACGGCCACTCGGGGAGGATCCAAACAAAGTGCTACCGTTCTCAGCAGGCTCTATTGTCGTCATCATCATCGTCCTCATCAGCTGATGACTCCTCATCAGGAAGACCTGGGGAGCTGCGTCCGCCCTTTCGGCGACCAGCGCTTTTGCTAACGCCGGAAAATGCTAGCACATCAACGCCGTTTTTACCCAAGTGCCGTTTACGTTGTCGTCGTCGCCGCTTGTGGGGACCATCACGGTCATGATCTCGTGGGATGCCCTTTTCAACTCTCTTCTTCCAGGAAGAACTGGTTTCGAAAGTAAATTAGCAAACCATGAGGGGGGAGGAGGTGGATAGAGGAAGGTCGGGGAAAATAAACAAGGGAACTTACATAATTTCCGTTTAATTTCTGTTCTTGGTCAAGTTGGCTATGGTGCTTGTTGATTCGTGGCCGGTAACTGTTTGGATCGCGACGGAAGGTCACGTCCAGATTTTTCAAGAATTTGTTGCATCCGGTCAAAAGGGACTCCGGGGTATTGGCTTTGGCATCGACGGATGGCTTACCATCGAAGACGATAACACGGTCAGCAAGATAGGTTGCCATGATGAAATCGTGCTCGACGATAAAAGCCGTTTTCTTGGTATGCATGATGAAACGCTTGATGACTCGTGCAGCGACGATACGCTGCTCAGAGTCCAAGTAGGCGCTGGGTTCATCAATTACATAGATATCAGCTGGGATGCCAAGAGCGAGAACTATAGCAACACGTTGCAATTCACCACCGGAAAGGTTTTGGACTTCCTGGTCGATGAAGTCATCAATATTGAGCGGCTTATAGACGTCGGTCTGGAACTGAGGAGACAAGAAAGCTGCTTTTATGCGCTTGAAGAACAATTGTCGAACAGTACCCTGGAATTTAGGTGTGATTTTCTGTGGTTTCATGCTGATGTTCATAGGCGGGACGGATGTGCGGCCATCTGGTTTCTCCGCTCCAGCAAGCATTTTGCAAAATGTTGTTTTCCCGGTCCCGTTCTCTCCCATCATTACAATGATTTCAGAATCGGTGAATTTCCCAGGCTCGATGGTGAGATGAAAGCTACCCAAGGTCTTTTCCATCTTTGGGTAGCTAAAAGCTCTGCCTTTGTCGGCTATGAAGTCGTCCCCAGCTTCCGCGATACGGAAGGTAAGGGATTCTTCGCGGAATCGCAAGTTCTCTGTGGGGATGTGCCCATCCAAGAAAATGTTGATGCCTTCCCGAACCGAAGAAGGAAGAGTGACGACACCATACACAGCTGGCCGGCCATAGAGTACGCAAATAAAATCGGAAAGGTAATCCAGGACAGACAAATCGTGCTCAACTACAATGACGTAGTCGTCTGGTCGGAGAAGTTCTCTGATAATACGAGCCGCGCTAAGACGTTGCTTGACATCCAGGTAGGACGATGGCTCGTCGAACATGTATCTAATGGATGTTAATTGCCCATCTAAATGCACCAACAAAATGGAGAACAGGTCTTACACATCAGCTTGCTGGACGCAGACAAGGGCAATGGCAAAGCGTTGAAGTTCTCCACCAGACAGGAGACCAATATCTCTATCCTTGACTTGGTTGAGTTCTATGGAGCAGCTTGATTAGGAACCTTAATGCACAACGGGATGAAAAGCAAGTGACAACGAACCAAGCTCTTTCATGATATGCTCCATATTGTCCATTTGGGAGCGTGCTTTGATAAGCGGCTCCACCTCCTTGACTGGGCCTTTGACTGCCCGGGGAATCTGATCGACGTACTGAGGCTTGACAACGGCTTTCAAATCATCTTCGAGGACTTTGGTAAAGTAATCTAGAGAAGTGTTAGTGGTGGTCCAGTTTGAAAGTCATAAGAAGAAAAAAGGGGGAAAGAAAAAATTCGTTTTGACAAATATCTCACTTTGTAATTCGGAACCACGGAAATATTTCAGGATCTCCTCCCAATCAGGCGGGTTATCGTAACGGCCCAAATTTGGCTTCAACTTTCCACTAAGAATTTTGAGAGCGGTACTCTTGCCAATACCGTTGGTTCCAACCAGACCCAGAACCTGTCCTGGACGGGGCATAGGCAGCCTGTGAAGCTTGAAGCTGTTGGCTGAATACCGATGGGTCACCTGTGTCTCGAGGTTGGTGGGCAGGTTGATGATGTGGATGGCACCAAACGGGCATTTTTTTGGACAAATACCACATCCTATACAGAGGCGTTCCGAAATGAAAGCTATCTTCGATTCAGAGGTGACTTCGATGCAAAGCTTGCCGGAGCGCACGACGGGACAGGACTTCTTGCACTCTTGACGACATTTCTTGGGAGGATATTAGCTTTGTCACCTCGATTGGGGGATTGCACAGAATAGCCTGGAAGATATAAGGAGTGTAGGCCTACCTTGGGTTTGCACTGCAAAAATTACAGAAAATAGTCGATTAGCCATGTGTTGTGATATTTGCCCTGTTCTCTTACTAGGAGAAAAATTGTGGAGGGGTATGGTGGGGTATATTTGCACACCTTGTCCGCATTGACAATGGCGATTCTGGATGACAAACTGTCAGTTAGCTGCCCAAGGAACCTTGTGGGGAGTTAGATACTCACCTGGTTAGTTTGTCCGACATGGTGAAGTAAATATTTTTAGGTGTTGGTGGAAGTCAAGAAATATATGTGAAGGAAGGGATTTTGTTGCCGGCTATGACAGTAGCAAAAAAAAAGCTATGAAAAATGCCCAAGGTGGGATGGATATGTTACCTCACAAGAAGTAACAACAAAACAAGAATATGACGAATAAAAGCACTACACTAAAGGGAAACAAAAAACCGAGAGAGCGGCAAGAGATTCGGGAGAGGTTGTTGTGAGAAGGTTGGAGGGGATTTTTGGGATCTTGAGATGTGCGATAGTTAAGTACGGATGGTTTTAGTGAGACTCAAATACAGCACATTTCACTGGTTGAACTTATCTCAGCGAGCTCAGACCCTCTATGGCTCCGGTTGCAGCAGCCTGACACTAAACTACTTTAGTTACAAGTCATGTGCTCAGAGCAATCCTCGCCAGAGGGTCTGGGAAGAAACGGTTCATCCTTCTGTGGAGATTGTTGAGATTTTCATAGATTCTTCAAATTGTTCAACTTTGACTTTCAATTACACAATCATCATACATATTTGATATTTGTGAACCACCTTAGCTTGTAGCTAAAGAGAAGAAGAATATAAATATATAATTTTTATATTAAAAAAATCAATATTTAATATAGATGTATCTTGTTGAAAATGGTCACTTTTTTTCTGATTGAAATCAAGTAAATAGCAGATTGTTCCCGTGTTTAAAAAAAAAAAATGAGTTGACTTTGAGGTGATACTTCATATCTAAGAAATGGGAATATGAAAATAAAAATTGATACCATCGTGAGAACATTGATTTTCCTAGGTCCCAAGATGGTACAGAGATGCTGAATAGATGGAGTTGGTTTGGTATTCTCACCCATACCTAAGGTATAGAGCAAATTGTTCCTGTGTTGCTAACAAACTGGAACTGTTTTTTTTCAGACGCTTCGCAGGATAATTGCACATCATGGGATCAAAGACTTATTTGGGTTAGCACATTACCAATTTGAGATTAGCTTGTTTAAAAGAGTGACTAATCATTAAATCAGTATCTTTTGCGCCGGTTAGCGGGGCGCCCAGACCGCCGGACGCCGTCGTCATTGGCCCGCTTCCTGCGCTAGGCCCGTTGAGGCAGCACCGTTGCCGCTTCGGGGATGGCGCGCCCGCTCGCCGCTTTTGCGCCCTCTCACGCCGCTTCAACCGACCTCCTCGATCTATAAAAACCCATCCCGCGCCCTCGCAACGACCACACACTCTCTCCTCCTCTTTTCTCTCCCTCCCTCTTTCTCTCTCCCTCTCGCGCGCGCCTGGATGCACTGCCCCCTTCCCCTCCTTGCAGGGAACCGGTGCCGTCTTACCCGGCCCTCGCCCCTTTTTCGTCCTGCGCCCGCGGAATCGCCGAACGGATGTCTGATGGGCTCGCGGGCTGCTGCTTCATTGGTTTCTGGACCACCCACGCCGCCCCTCGCGGTGGTGTTACTTCGCTTGATCTGAAGTCTGGGCTGCTGGGACATCTACAGCCGTCAGCTGTGTTGTACGGTCGGCGACTGTGAACCGCAGATTGCCAATAGTCTATCTTTCTTTTCTTTTCTTTTTTCTTTTATTTAATTTTTAATTTTTAATTTTTGGGTTGGGAGGTCGAGAGTTTCCGCCCCCGCCTCTCGTTTCCCGTTTTCTTGCGGTTTTATCGGGTTGATCTGTCTCCCGTACTCTGTTGTCTTGGGGTGCCTTTGTCCGTGGAGATCTGTGCGGAAAAGCAACAGGCGAACGATCGATCGAGGCGCACAGGGAAAACCAGCGGGCGAGCCTCCTGGAGCCGGAGAGCTTGCTGAGCCCTGAGTGATGGAGGGTTGCATCGCCGTTTGACCCACCAAGGCAGACTGCCTCATTTCCTTTCCCCAGCCAATAGCAAAATTGCCGCACTTCTTTATTGGTATCGGTGTGCGCCTGCAGGTCGGACCCGGGGGGGTTCGTCAGCATTGCATACTCGACATGTCAAGGTTGGAAGTGGCGATAACCATATGTGATTGGTGCAGGGCGCCGGTTATTGACCTTCAGATGTCTTTCTGATGAGGACGGACGCGTCAGCAGTCTCAGGGAAGATTCAGGGATCAGTGGAATTCGCCCTGTTGCTTCCTCTCCTATGTGGGAGATGGTGGGGAATTTGAAGCCTCTGTGCTGAGAGAATCTATAAAGGGTGGCCGAGCCTCCTACTGAATCACTGGCATTTCGTGATCTGTTTCTCTCGCCCGCGCATGCTCTTCCCAGCAGGCCCAATGCCCACTCTCCTCCCTACTCCCCTGATTCACCTCTGACTCAGAATCTCCTCTCTCAGATCCCCAATCTCCCACTCCCAGATGGCCCTCGCGTTTCATGTGAACAACTTCAAGCTGTGGACGCCACGGCACCCCAAGTTATTCTCACTGCGCAAATGCCTCAATTCTCGCACCCAAGAATCCAGAAAACCCCCTCCCCCAGCCCCAGCCCCGCGTTGTGATGTCTTCCCCAACTCCCTGCTCCCCCCCAACCATGGCCTTCCTTCGAAGCTGCCGGCCGAAGTTTGCGTGTCTATCAGTGGTAATACTCAGCCGTGTGCGCCGTCGAGCTCCCCCTCCCAATCAAGAGAGATGTCTAGACCACCACCCAGTTCGGAGAATCCTCAGCATGGGGTATCATCTCTCTGCAATCTGGCACATCATACCCTGAATTCACATCCCACCCCTGCCAGTGATGTTCAAGCTAATATCTCTGATACGCTGACCGAACTGCCTCCCCTTGGAAGAGGTGCCACAGGGGCTGATTCATCATCGCCAAGCATAATCAGCTCAGATGGTAGCTTAGAAGATTTCTTCAGGCTCCCGGATCTTCAGAACAACATCTTCATTGACTCAGTCATTCTTGCCAACATGTCTTGAGACATTAGTGACTTTCACCAGCCTGTTCAGCAAGGTGATGATCTTGCCAACTGAAAGGTCATTTATCTCTGTTCTGTACCTCCTCTGTCCATGTTCTGTGACACTCTCAATCATTACTGAGGATCCGGAGAGAGGCCTGATGGCTGGAGTAGAAATTCCCAAGCAGTTGATGATACTCACATTCTGAATCATCAGCAGATTCACCCCGCCCGTTGCAGCACTGATGTTGATGTTCCTTGCTCCTGCAGCACAAGTGACGACTTCCTCAGTGATGAACAGTTCAGAGAGCGCAAGTGAGGGCCACAGCAATCAGAAGAATCAGCTGTAAAGCAGCTTCATGTTGCCTCTGCATCATTTATAGAAAGTTCCTACACAGCCCTTCACTTCCATTTCCGGTCACTACCACTCGATGAGCGTCTGCAGTTCCTTTCTTGACTGTTTGAAGGTGCTTTGGCGAGTTGCATGCCCGAATCAGCGCCGGCAATATGGGGAGGAGATGAGAGTGTGCGGCCAGCCGGTCGTTCGGCTCCTCACAAAATTGGAAAAACTGAGCGTGAGCGCGGTGAGGGGAGAAAGGGCCACAGAGACAAGCTGTTGCAATGGCTCCCTGAGGATGACGCACGGCTCCTAAGCATGATGGAGCAGTGCCGACCCTGGCCGGAGATAGAGAGTTGTTTTCCAGGAAGGACGGAATCGGCGCTGCGCCAGCGGGTGTCTACGCTTCGGAAACACGAGAGGGGAATGCGTACAGCTGAACGCGCCGGTGTCACAGCAGCATCTGCCAACCCGGAGGGTAAGATGTAACGCTAATCCATGTACATGAAAGTGATATCTTGATCGATTACAAGGTGGCCTCTCCTAACCATTCATTAACGGCCCTTGGTAGGCAGGTGAGGGCAGCCTTGATTGACAGTGTCTTTATCTTTCTCCTCCAGGAGCAACCCATAACTCGCCACAGGTATATATAACTGGAGAAGCCGAGCCACCTGCTCATCGCACTGCCATGCGTTCCCCTCTTCTACTGTACGCAGCCACAGCCACAGCCGAATGATACCTTCCCTCTTGTCCCCCCACGGTGATCCGCATAGTATCACGGTTGTTGAAAGGTGTGTAAGAGATTTGAAACTCATACATGTATCTGTATATATATTGCGCATTCTGCCTCTTCTAGAATACAGATAGATAGAAGAACAACTAGAATATGCACACAACTGTCACTTGTTTTTACAACAGTTCTATGATTGCTGTTATGACTAATCCATTCTGTGTCCAAGGTGCTTATGTGAGCTGGCACAGTTACGCGACCTGTGCCGACTGATCAGTGTCAGTTACAAACATAGAGCAGCGATCACAGGATCTACTCCTTGTGCCTGGATGTTAATCCCCTGAAGGTTAGATATCAGTCAGCCCATACAATACATAAAAATTGGCTGTCATTTTAATAATCAAAGAATATCTCTTCATGCTGGAAAATGAAAACTTTTGCTGAGTCACCCGAGGTTACGCGTGGATATCCCGATCACGTGCTAATAACTAGTGGTTATATTGAGCATTCTGCCTCGGCTAGAATATACAGAACAGAATAGAATAACAACAATGAACATACTACTATCACTTGTATCTTAACAATTGTATACACAGATGAAGCGGATTTTGCTGTTATTGGCAGCTACTCTTGTTGCGAACTTTGTTGTAGTATTCACCGCGCCGCTGGCAGTCATAAATTTCAGCCGCGCGAGGCTTGGAATATCCCTCAAGGCGCCAATATATTCTGTACACACTTTGCCAATAAATTCTCCGCCACAACTTTCGAATGATTTGAAGTTTGTAACGAAACTGGGCTCAAAACATTGTTGCCTTGAGTTGTAAAATGGCCTAGTTATGTAGACTAATTGGTATGCATTGAGCAGGCTAACTAATATAAACGATACTTATTCATATTCGGTTTCAATCAGAGCTATCGCATCATCATACGCCTTAATAATAGGATCATATAGCCTTTTTGGGTCTTGGGGTGTTCCAACAATAAGTCCTTCCTTCCCATGAGGAAACATCACGCCTCGTATGGTCCTGCAGAGGGGTTTGACGCACTCGAATCCCGGTGGAAACTCCTGTAGAAGGTATTCAAATCCGCTAGCTTCTATGTTGCCTCGTTTATAAGTTGCAATATCCCTGAAGGTGCTACTATACCACTTTTTCAACATGCTGTCTTTCGGCCGATCCTGTCTCTGCCTCTGTAGCTCATCTAGTTTTTCCCAACCATGACAGGCACATTGCCAGATAAGGACGTAGAAGAACGATTCGAGATCATGCCGATAGGTATGGTCGATATTGAGCAGCACCTCGATCGCCATGAACTCCATCGTGCCGGTCTGGTGGCGTGCGCCACTGCGCCCGCTCCCAATTTCCTTGGCAAGATCCAGATCGATTAGCATGCCCGAGTGACCATCCGCCTTGTCTGGATCGGTTATTATTATATTGTTCTCTGAAATATCCCTATGAAGGATGTTCCCATCTAGGTAAAGAGACCTGTGCGCCTTTATTGCATCGCGAAGCGCCATGAGCAGCTCCAAGGGCGATTTGTACTTGTAGATCGGCCGGCCAGCGGGCGATATCACAAGACAGCGGAGGACACGGTTGTCGTAGAGTTCCTCGCCATTCCTGTCGAAGAGACTTGGCTCGTGCGCCGACTGAACAGAGAAAGCTAGTTCTTTCTCCTGCTGAGTGTCACTCGACGGTTGATTAATGAAACGCGATCGTTTGGACGCCTGCACCCCTTTGTCCGGAGATCTGCGTTTCTTGGAAGATGATTTTCGACGAATATCTAAGCGACAGGGTTCGGTGAGCGGCTGAGATTGATGAAATGAGGAGACTGTACTGGGGGGGGCGCTTTTGAAGTCGTGGCGCTTGTCGTCGAAGGTCAGGCCGCTGCGCAGGTTGGCGATGCTGGTGATGGTACTGTGGCCAATGATCCTGGCGACCCCTTGGACATTTTTTTTACTCGCTAGCTTGAGGAGTTCCACCTCTGGGCGCTGCTTGTCCGATACCCACGAGAATTTGACTACGACCTCTCCATCATCTGCGAGAAAACATGTAGTCCCGCGACACACAATGGCACGTTGAAAGGAAAGCATTTCACCCAGCCGCAGCACCGTTTCCTCTGAGGGTCCAGGCCTTTTGACAGTCATCAATTTGATGCCCTCTTCATCCCTAGCAATAAAGGTGTCTAGCCCCAGCTCCTCGTCGCTCATCATGGTGTAGCCCATAAGCACCTGAAAGAACCGTCTCGAGTTCGTATAGACGTCGATGATGCCTGAGCTGTAGGGACCCGAGCGGTCAAACACCCACGCCTCCATCTTGGTCCCGCAGACAGCGAATGCATGGACGAACCGCCGGGTGGGCTGCGCAGCGAAGACCTCACGCACATAGCAGCCTATCTGCAGAAATGTGGCTTTGGTCCCGAGCTTCTCCTCAGGTTTTTTAAGCTCGCCAACCACCAGGATGTCTGTCCAGTCGTGTTTGTTTTGCAAGGGGCTCCCACCCCTAGCTCGCAAAATAAGGTCGACTTGCCGTTCCGCCTGCGAACCAGTAAGATCCGCTTTGCTTGCTGTGGTGTAGTAGATGCTGCGTGATTCCGAGAGAAGGTCTTCTTGAAGACGAAACCACCAGGCGAGGACATTGCCCTGTGTAGGAGGATCGGGAAACTGGGCCCAATTACTGTCACTGTCTGGGTCTAACACACGTCGACAGATGGTATCTGCTTTGTCACTCCAATCCTTCTCCTCAAAGTATTTGTCAAAGAAGCCCTCAACATCTCGAAATGTGCAGCCACATATATCCTCAAAGATTCTTGGATTCACCAACTTACGCGTCTGCTCGGAGCCTTTCTGCGATGATGAGGTGGATTTGACTGGCGTGCTGTCATAGGAGGGTGGGATGCTCATCGGAGGAGTTGATTGAGGGATGTTGTCAATGAGGTTAAATACAGCTTTCCAGATGTCGATGTTCCATTTATCAACATTCTGGATTTCATTGTCTGGGAGCCTTTGGATGACCAGGTGTACTAGAGGCCGGTAGTCATCATATTTGAAAATTCCTTTTGTTTTTTTGAGATGCTCAACTAAGTGTCCTAGATCAGACTCCAATTTCTCATCACCTATCTGTGAGTGAAGGTTACAAGCTGCACCCTCTTTCTGTAAAACAGAGAGGAGTCCCGAAGTCGCTCCCCGATAGAGTTGGTCAAGGCTATCAACAGCGCCATCATAGGAAATTAGAAGTGACTCATAGATTTTTTCAGCTTCCTGAAGCACGCCTTGTAAATGATTGACTGAGCTGGTTAGAGGATGGTTCTTGATAATGGTATACCGTTGGGTTGATGCGAGGCTAACTAGGAGTTGCTGTGATGAATGGGACAGGAAAAAAAATGCAGAATTGTTAGAAAGTTATGATGTATGATACTTGTGAGAGAAGATAGCTGATTAGGAACGATACTGATCAAAGGGTTGATCCGGCTTGGCTCTGATGTGGAAAACGGATCGACCACTGAGCAAGAAACCGGGTGGAGATTAATCCTATTCGATCGCGACGGAAAAATAGGAAGATTGAAATCGTATTTTGAGGAAGGCAGCTATTTGTGGAAGGTGTAAAGCTTGCTTGATTGAAGGATTGCTAGCTCCGTGGCAAGTTATATGGTGAAAGGATTACTAAGCCAGGGCAGTTGACCTGACAGTTCCTTCATATGACTCGTTTCCCATATCTCCCTTTTTGTTTCGGGTTTGCGTCATAGATAAGAAATCGCCGCGGTGACCCACGTGGAGAAACTTGCGGCCCGAGATCAGTCAGACTTGGGCACCAAAATCCAAATCCAACCCTCCTCGACAATAAAAAAAAAAAAATCTTACACAGTCAGTCTTTGCGATGATAAGATAAAAGGGATAAGGCTTTGCGTATCTCCCTTTACAGAAAAACTTCATTTTCGAAGATAGAGCCGGGATTTGGGCAAACAACACGCATTCGGGTGAGTCCAGCAAGTTTTCATGAACCACCTAACTTTCGAGGAACCGAACCCTCAGTGCGCTGATTTCACCTTTACACTCTAGCCTGAAATGAAAAATATTAATGCTGCTGTCTACTCATAGTTCTAATTGTCAGTAATGTGCTATCAGACATACAATACTCCGATTCGCACGGGCGACCCTGCATAAGCGGCTAATCACATAAAATGCAACCACTTAAAGACACTGCCGTTAGGGCGGCATCCAAAGTGAGGTCGAAAGTGAAACGGAGTTCACACCCCAAGTACTCCTGGCTCTATCCTCCCGACTGCGAAAAAGACGTCGAGCCGGTGGTTAAACAATGGCTACAGGTTTGGAAAGCAAGCATACCTTGAATATGAAATATACTAAGAATGAAGTAGGATAAAGTGAATCTCGAGCACGTGTCTCGCCAAATAGGAAAGCCATTTAAAAGCGATCCCTTGGAGAATGTGGTCGAATATTATGCAATCGTCTGGACTGATAGGAGTGGCAAACTTGAAGAGCCATTCCCCGGAAAGCACCTGGTTATTATAGGGTTGGATTATGTGGATGAAAACAATGGCCTTCCTATTTTCAATGATACAAAATCATTAGATCATGGGGAGTATATCGTTATATCAGGAGATGATGATATGATTATGAGCGATAAAGGAGGGGGCATATATTATTTGTTGTGTTGGACATGTCCACTGGTTGCCAATAAATATTTAAGTCTTACATTCGAAGAAATGCTAGCCAATTCATTTACGCATTCCTCCATCCAAAATTCAATCACATCGCCATATTGAAATTGTTCGCTGAGCATGCATAGGCAACCGACTGTTGATGGTTGCCTGCGGAAAGATTCGTCCACCCATCCGACACTCCATACTGTGGCTGCTGTACATCTACTGCAAGTAGTTGCCGACCATTGTCTGTAGAACAAAGATCCGTCCAGCCATCCGACACTCCATATGGTGGCTGCTGTACATCTACTGCAAGTAGTTGCCGACCATTGTTTGTAGAACAAAGATCCGTCCAGCCATCTGACACTCCATATGGTGGCTGCTGTACATCTGCCGCGAGCAGTTGCCGACCATTGTCCGAGTATGGGCTCGATTGAGAAAGCCCGTCGGTCCAGGCGTCCGAAAAGCCATGCAGTGGCTGTAATAAAGGGGGACGATTGTCCATGTTTCCGCTGCCGCCAGAATCCGTCACAGAATCCACCACTGGTGATATATTAAGCTGGGTGGAAGGTTCGGTAGTCCGTGGAACAAGCTCATTGTCAATGATTTGATCGAGGGGGCCTATATATATGTCAGCACAGAGGGTATTGCGGATATAGTATCGGCCAAGACTGACTCTCTGCTACGCTCGCGATAGTGAAAATTTGTGGTTCGCTGCTCTTTGTTTGTGAAAAGCTATGTCTGAATTCGCTAGATACACTCCCATTCGGCTCCGGCATATACTAATACGGGGCATTTTTGTTAGCGAATACTAAGATAGTGAGCGAGTTATCAGGTGTCCCTTGACATGGACAGGGCTTACATTTTGATTGCCATGTCCCTCGGCACGATTACCTTCATTGCGCTCATTTCTCCTTCTTTTGGTTCGATTGACAGACGGATATTGTTTCTGTATCATCCGCTTTCGCTGGCGCGACCCATTATTATAGTTTTTTTGACATGATTCCCACCAATCGGAATATATTTCGGCATGGTCTTATATTTTTCGATCCAGAAGACCCTCTATCAGTGTAGGAAGCATCGTGTAAGGAATCTCATGCCAACGAGGACAGGTTGAAAGAAGTGCGGCAATCCCAGGAATGCCTGAAAGTGCTTGAATGACAATTGACTTAGTTCCTTCACAGATCATCTTTGAGTGAGAGTTCTCAATCCTCTATGTTTCACAAAGGTAATCTCCTGTATTACTATCTGAGATATGAAGGCCTTGTCAGATGCTAGAATATAAGTTTGATCATTAAAGAGTATTTATCTAGAAAGTCTGTGTGAGAACTCTTTTGGGAGAATCCTCTTATGAGGAAATGGCTCATGGAAACAAATTGCTGAAATGCTCCTACTTTTTCAAATATAAGCTGCTTTAAGCAAGAAAATTCTTTTCACAAAAAATCAGCCATTGCATTTCACAAAAGGATTTTTCTGAGAGGATCCAGGTCTTTGTTTAAAGCAGCTTATATTTGAAAAAGTATATTAGCTTTGCTTATACCTTCTGAATTCTCAGAAAAATCCTCTTGTGAAATGCTCCGTGCATGGCTGATTCACAAGAGGATTCTCTCGAGAGGGATTGTCAACAGAAGAGGCTTTTTATGAAATGCTTCAGACTTTAGCCGCACCTAGATCGCTTTATCTGGAACTGTTACTCCGTAGATAGATGAGATAATGAGCTCTCTTACCACCCAGGATAATTCATTCAATCCAATTCATTCAACATGAACTCAAGAATTTTCGATTCTGATCCTCTCATGACGCAGTCTGTGATAATGCTTTTAACTTCATCTAAACGATCTGCGTGGCCAGATCTAAACACCCGCGCTACACGGACATAAGCGCGAACTCATCATTCAAGAACTACACGATGCCCAGTTTCAAGACACGATGGATCGCTGTGAGATTAATAGTATTTTGTGAAATAAAATGGGTTGATGATGGGGACTTCATTGATCGATACGGTGCGGCGCGTATTAGAATGGCCAAATATAATAAATAGATGAAATTCTCAACTTTTGCTTGCTTTACATCGGAGCAAAATAATGCAACCGTGCGCACAAAGGACCGCAGTAACAATCGGCTCGCGCCCAAGAACAGACCTATTCCAGGGAACCGGCGGCAAGGGAGGTGGGAACAGGTCTTTATTGGCAAGCAGTTTTGGAAATCCGTGCCATATTTGCAGCCCACCTTAGAAGAGGTCTTGGCATCGTTTTTGTGTATTATAGTGTCGGGATCGCGCCCTGACTATGACCTCATTCGCGCACGCCGTCTTTTTGGGGTCAGAGACATAGAATCCATGATTATGGCAAATATTGATATTTAACGGCAGCAATGCTGCTCACATCCGCTTCCTTGAACACTGGCTACCTCTGCTGCCCCCAACTTTCCAACTCCAGCCTCATCAACTGGCATTCTCAGTCGAAAATGAACCGGATAGTTCCAGATAGTGATTTAGATTTCTAGGCATTTTGTAGCAAAAGTATTAGTGGAGGGATATGAACTAATGCGGATTCAGTGTATATGTCAATAGGGCAATGTAGCCTGACTTGCATTTCATTTGTGTTTTGATATAACATGCATTTGAGTAAGAGTGAGCATGGCCATGATGTGTGAGGAGTGCAACTCCTTTTATTACACACATATATATATCTATACTACAAAACTAGTTCTCTAGGCTCTGTTGATATTCTAATGCCAGTTTCTCCTGAGTGTGACCCCGCACAACAGTTCCATGAGCCTCCTCTGCATGGTTGAGAAGAGCAGATTTGGCCGGGAGCACCTTCCCCTCACAAACATTGCACTCAACCCCAGTGGCCGGCCATGGAGGGTTGATATGCCTTCGTAGAAAATGCCTTGTAAGTGATCCGGGTGTTGCGTATTTTTTAATGCGGCTCTCCAGCGAGCAACTAGGATTCCCAATGCAGAGAAAGCAAATGCAAGGCTGAAAGCAAGCCTGAGGCTGTTCAGCTGTGAACTTGGCCTGCACAGACTCCATTGCTTGGTGCAAGAGGACCTCGGTGTTATCCTTTAACAAGCACCTCTGCCGCTTGGTCAGAGGATAAGGGTCATCATCGACCGCGGGCCGGCGCGAGGGCCGCCCTTCCTCCACGCCACAGAATGCGACCCCTGCATTGATTGTGTTGATCCTCCGCTGATATTCCGCTTCAAGACTAGCACCCGGCAAGGTCAGCATGCAGTCAACAAACATCAAGTGCTTCAGAGACATGAAGGCCTCATGCTTGAAAGTGTTCATGACTTTGATATCCACCAGCTTCCCGGCCAGTTGTTGTTCAAGATCAATCACAAATTGCTCATTTTTATAGCATTCAAAATTCTCACAGATTCATCAGTTCTGCTGCTATTATTTTTTGTTACACAGTTTATAAACAATGTTGTTGAACACTAACTTTGCTTCTGCTCTCCACTCATAGAAAACCTCCAGTCTCTTCAATATCTTGAAATTGAATTCAGTGAATACTCTATTATCAAGATGTTTTAGAGCAGTCTTGCATATTTTGTTGATATATTTTAATTCAATTTCATAATCATTCAATTCTTATTTGCATTTCTGAACAGTATTCTGTCAGTCAAGAACAACTGAAAGGTAACTATTTAAGAAACTTTGATTCTTTTAGAGAAAACTTAAACAGTCAATTGAGATTGATCAATGCATTTATTAAATAAGCAAATTGCATCAATTCTGTTTGAAAGCCTGTTTTCTGAATTATTCCCTGCACATTAATGTTAATATTTATTTGATAACGTTTGATAAAGATGTGAATATCTGCATGTTGAAATATGATGTTTTGAAGAGCCTTCATTACTTTCTTTGTTCATCATTAACCTTTTAATATAACTGAAACATGAAGAAAATTAAAGGGTACTTATCACTGTTGTTAAATGCTTTAGCTTCAGTATAGTAAAGATTGTATAAATAAGTGATTTTTTCAAAATCTATAATCTCACCAACTCAGTGTATCTGAAAACTCATCATGAATGAAGTCATTCTCTTATTCAGACAAATTTTAAATTCAGTGAATGTTAACTTTATCTGATAAAATATAAATTTATTCAATAATTCATTTTTTAATAGCAGCAGCAACTGTCTCTTGTCATTCAACATTTTAACATTGTAGAATTTCTCTGCAGAATTCAACATTGAGTTAATTATTAAAATTGATTTGAATTCTTCAATGTGAAAGAGTATAGTCAGCAGGCAGATATGCAGGCTGAGAATCAGAGTTGAATTAAAAATGGTTTTTGAAATTTTAAACTTATTTTTATCATTCTATCAATCAATCAGCTCATGCTGTGAGAATCAGAAACATATATAATATTTCATTTTCAAAAAATTTTTTGATAAACTCTGATTTAAAAATATAAACAATCAGAGACATTCATTGTCTGAAATTCAGATCAGAGTTAATATAATATTTCAATATTGAAGATGAAAAATTGCTAAAAGATGATTGATAATGATGATTGCAAGCTGCAAGAAGAAAAGCATTTGAATGCATTGTTAATTAAAAATAAATATCATTTCAATAATGATGAGAATGATTCAAATAAATTCAGGAATTTTTTTTAATATATATATATATTTTTATTTATTTGATAAAAATCAATTCATTTTCTGTGATCATCTTTGCAATAATCTGTAGAGATTAATAATGCTTTTAATTTAATGATTTTGAGAAAGAGAATGATCACATTTTTCATTTTAATAATTATATTTTTTATTGAATTCTGAGGCTGTTTTTTGTTTGAGAACAAGATGTCATTATTTTCAAAATATTTTCAATGAGTTTTTACATTTAATTTTCAAACAGTATTAACTATTCTTGCCACAATGAATATCATATTGTCAATTGAAAAATGCATACAGAAACTGAACTGTCTTCTCTGAATTAGAGATTCACTTTTATTATCACTTTGTATTAATTTTGATATGCTGACAATATCTGCTCAGCATTATTGATGAGTTTATAACATTGTTTAAAAATTAAATAAATCATTGTCTATTTTTTTCAGTAATCACAAATTTCATTGAGTTTTTTTTAAGTTTTAAAGCTGTACTGCTTTTATCAAAGCTGAGTGATATCAAGATTCTCTGTCAAAATCAGATAATGTTCAGTGGAAAGTTGACTGTCATCATTATCTTCATCATAATCAATGAAGCCACTTTCATACCTGCTGTATGAAACAATAACATTCAGTGTGAAGAAGAAATTCAGAGCAGTTAAAACATTCATCTTGCTGCTGCTTTGCTTGTCAGATTTGATCAAATAAAATAAAGATATTATAATCAGAACAGCTCAAGAAGAGCTGACAGTAGAGAGAAACAGAACAAATAATGAATGATTTGAGACATTTTCATAAATAGAACTGATTGAGTAATACTGTGAAGAAGGAGAGGAAAGAGAGGTGTAGACAGCATGATGAGAGTGATGAGAATTGAAAGCAGAGAGAACAACATGATCTTGGGGAAGGGAGTCAAAATCAACAAAGTGAAGCATCAAAAACAGCTCCCCCCCTCCTTCCAAAAGAAGAGCAGTGGGTGAATGTGGGTGAATGAGGGTGCTTGGAAGTGCACGAAAACGCAGCAAGTTCAAAAATCGTGGCCATGCAAGGAGGGAAGCGTCGCGGCCGTGAGGATATATTCACGTGATGATCGAGGTTGGGCGGTTGGCAGGAGGCCAAAAGCAGCCGCGAAAACGGCCATTTTCAGCCGCTGGCGAACCGTCACATCGTTATATAGAGTGTTAAAACAGCAATTATCCTGCGAAGCGGCTGAGCTTGCTGAGATAAGGTTGAACACTTTTTACTGTTTTTCAAACTGGCTCCGTCCCGGTTGCAACCGTCAAGCTGTTTTTGACGGTCTACAACAAGGATATTCTACAACCATGAGTTTATCGTATACCTCCATTGATATGGCCAAAATACTACAGTCCTCAGTCCCATCAAAATTGCTCTCCCAGTCCTAGTAGCTTGAACCAACTGCGTCCATCTGTGGATCACGTGAATTTCCCGATCTGCACGAGCTAGCCAACCAGAGCACGTTCCGCAGCGGACAGAATGCTGCTGAGTCACCCAACCGAAGGGTCGCTTGTCGGCGACACTAAATTATATCCAGTCTAGTCGACTTCAGACTTGCGGGTCTAAGCCCTTTTCGGGGCCCAAGCTTGGCGGCGGCTCTCAACCTCCACCTTCAACTCTTCGCTCTCTTTCTCCCTCCTCCCAAACTCGCTCTCCGCCAAACTCGTGCTTTCACTCCCTTCGCACCCTCCCCACCCACCACAAACACTCTTTAATTCGCTCTCATTGTTGCTGGCTCCTAGCTTCTGCCTCGGGGCCACCAAGCTATGGATCGTAAGTTATCTCTCCCTTTGGTCCACCTGGAAAATACGTCTACCGAGGCTCGCTTGTGTACCTCCCCTCGATCTTCGACGAACCCTGCTCCGCTTGGATTCTCTTCGTTTTGATGATGAGGATCTTCAGCTACTTGCTATGTTGATGGAATCGATGCCGTGATTGTTGTAGAATCGGTTTATTCTTTTGGTGGCTCGTTATTCTGCATCCGCTGTTATGCATCAATTCCGTCAAACTCGTTTCATCAAACCATCGATAAAAGCCATACATTCCATCAAATCTAGTCATGCTACCCTATTATACCATCTATAGAGCTTCTACAAGTCATATCCCCAGTCGCATATGTATCCTGTAGCTCGTGCTATCTTCGAATTTGGATTTTCTCCCATAATTGCTCTTCAATGCTGACCTGTTCCATAGTCAGTAGCATGGTGCTCCCTTCCGCCTCGATGACATCTACCCTGCCAAATGGCCACCAGTCCCCCGTCACAAATGATGTTCATGCCACAGATGAGAATCCATCTATACCGACCTTCGACAACGTGAGCGACTTGGCTGAAACAACTGCCGACGAGCAAGATCCCTCCGACGAAGATGCAGATCATGACCCGAGCGAGGATGCGGAGTCGGACGCCGCGGAGGAGTTTAATGCGGAGATGAGTTCGGACTCCTCAGACAATGAGGATGATGTGGATGGACATGCTTCTCCAGCTGCTGAACACCTTATTGGTGAGGATGAAGGCTATTCGGCTGCTGAAGACGCTTCCGACGCACCTCCAGCGTCTATTTCTGGTAACTCATCGGCCCACAACCTGAAGAGGGGCACTAAACGAAAATCTCCCATTATCGATGATGACTTTATAAGAAATAACCCCAGCCTCTACGGCTTACGTCGAAGTGGTCGTGCAAGATCCATTCGTCAAAATGTCCAGACTACATCCGATTCTGACTCTGAAGCTGTCGCCCCCCCTTCAAAGCGGAGGCGTCGTACACCAAATCGACCCTCAAAACAACCTTCGCTTTCTCAGTCAATTGATTCTACCTCCAATTCTGACGGTGACGAATATCACGGATCGCGCAATAGAACCTCAAAAACAAAACGTCGACGGATGGCGCAGTCGGATAACCTCATACCTACCCATGCCGAAATTCGCTTTTCAACTAGACGTGCAAATAGAGTATCTAATTACAATGAGGATGATGACGATGATGAATTTGAAGATGAATCGGAAATGATGACGCCGGGGGATTGGGTGACTGCAGTCGATGATACAACGCCAGCCATTGATGTAGTGCTCAACCATAGGTTTAAGGAGGGCGTTGACCTCACACGGAGCGGCCTTAGTCGAGACGATTTTGAGTTCTACATTAAATGGCAAGGGAAATCCCATTATCACGCGACATGGGAAACGGTGGAATCCCTTGCCAGCTGTAGGAGTGTGCGTCGCTTAGATAACTACGTACGCAAGACCCTGTCCTTAGAAATACAATATGCAAGGGACCCAGAAATCATTCCCGAGGAAAAGGAGAAATGGAACCTCGACCGGGAACGTGATGTGGATGCCATAGAAGATTATAAAAAGGCAGAGCGTGTTATCGGCTCTCGCGAGATTGACGGTGCAACAGAGTACTATGTCAAATGGAAACGGCTTTTCTATGATTGCTGTACATGGGAACCCGCGCCCCTAGTCAGCGAGATCGCTCAGCGGGAGATCGATCGCTATCTCGACCGTTGCTCCCACCCGCCCATTTCTAGTAAAGCCGAATCAAGCCCCTCAACTCGAGCCCCATTCGAGCCCATCCACGGCACCCCGAGCTTTGTTCAGAACGGTGAACTCAAGGAATTCCAAGTGAAAGGAGTTAACTTCATGGCTTATAACTGGGTTCGTGGTCGAAATGTGGTTCTTGCAGACGAGATGGGTTTAGGGAAGACCGTCCAAACGGTGGCCTTTATCAATTGGTTGCGGCATGTCAGGCATCAACAAGGTCCCTTCATCGTCGTTGTGCCGCTCTCAACAATGCCTTCTTGGGCAGAAACATTTGACAATTGGACACCAGACTTGAACTACGTGGTTTACAATGGCAACGAAACATCTCGCAACATTATAAAGGAATATGAATTATTGATTGATGGGAATATTAAACGACCTAAATTCCATGTCCTTCTCACTACTTACGAATATGTTCTTGTGGACGCCGCCTTCCTAAGTCAAATCAAATGGCAATTTATGGCCGTCGATGAAGCTCATCGGTTGAAAAATCGGGAGTCGCAACTATATGCTAAGCTTGTTGAATTCAAATCTCCTAGTCGACTACTAATTACGGGAACGCCTGTGCAGAATAACCTAGGCGAACTCTCTGCTCTAATGGACTTCCTAAACCCTGGGCTGATACAAATTGACGATGACATGGATCTAGGTTGTGAAGCGGCCAGTGTAAAATTAGCGGAACTTACCAAATCTATCCAGCCTTACATGCTTCGACGGACCAAATCGAAGGTCGAGTCGGATTTACCTCCCAAGTCGGAGAAGATCATTCGAGTCGAATTGTCCGACATCCAACTAGAGTACTACAAAAACATACTGACGAAAAATTACGCTGCCCTCAACCAAGGCGGCAAAGGACAGAAGCAATCCCTTCTTAATATCATGATGGAGCTCAAGAAGGCTAGCAACCATCCTTTCATGTTTCCCAACGCTGAATCTCGCATTTTGGAGGGGAAAACGGGCCGTGAAGAAATGATGCGTGCCCTCATAACGAGCAGCGGAAAGATGATGTTGCTGGATCAACTATTGGCCAAACTGAAAAAGGACGGTCATCGGGTTTTAATTTTCAGCCAAATGGTTCGCATGCTTGACATCCTAGCTGACTATATGGATGTCCGTGGCTATGCCTACCAACGACTAGATGGAACGATCGCTGCCGGCCCTCGACGTCTGTCTATTGAACATTTTAATGCCCCCGAGAGCAGTGATTTTGCATTTCTTCTCTCCACTCGTGCGGGAGGTTTGGGGATTAACCTCATGACTGCTGATACTGTTGTCCTTTTTGATTCTGACTGGAACCCTCAGGCCGATCTTCAAGCAATGGCACGCGCACATCGCATTGGACAAACTCGGCCTGTGAGCGTTTATCGACTTGTATCTAAAGATACTGTTGAAGAGGAGGTTCTCGAAAGAGCAAGAAATAAGCTGCTTCTCGAATTTATTACCATCCAACGAGGAGTTACTGACAAGGAAGCAACTGAGCTCAAAGACAAGATGGCGCGTGCAGGCCACCAGATCAGTGAACCAACCTCTTCCGACGATATATCCCGCATTCTAAAGCGACGCGGCCAGCGCATGTTCGAACAATCTGGGAACCAGAAGAAGTTAGAAGAATTAGATATTGACTCTGTCCTGGCGAATGCTGAAGAGCACAAAACCGAACAAGCCGAAGGTATGGAGGCAGATGGTGGAGAGGAGTTTCTCAAGGCCTTTGAGTTTGTCGACGTTAAGGTGGACGAACTTACGTGGGACGAAATCATTCCAAAAGAGGAGCTCGAACAAATCAAAGCACAAGAGGAACTTCGAGCGCATGAGCAATTCTTGGCTCAAGAGATTGAACGAAGTCAGCCGCGTAAACGAAAAGAGCCCTTGGATGGGCGACAGGAACGCCAAGCTAAAAGACGAGCTCGGGCACAGGTCAATATCAACGCTGACGATGTGTCTGATGCACCACCGCCACCTGACCCGAGCAGGCCCCTCAGCGAGAAGGAATATAGACATCTCATCCGCGCGTATCTTAGATATGGCGACATCAATGATCGGCAAGATGATCTAATCAGGGAAGCACGGCTCATTGGCCGAGATATCGATGTTGTGAAAGCTGCGTTGGGCGAGATAGTCGAGAAGGCCCATGCCCTATTGAAAGAGGAAAATAACCGCCTCAATGCCCTTGAGCGTGAAGGCAAAAGCTTCACCAAGAAAGAACGGAAAGCCATCCTTTTCGACCATCAGGGCGTTAAACGGCTTAATGCCGAGACCATCGTTGAGAGGCCAAATGAAATGCGAATTCTGAGGAAGGCTACCGCGGATGTAGCCGACCCCCAGAGCTTTCGCGTTCCTGAAGCTACGAAGGGCGCTGACTATTCCTGCGCCTGGGGTGCACGTGAAGATGGTATGCTCTGTGTCGGAATAGCCCGCCATGGCTATGGTGCCTGGGCACAGATCCGCGATGACCCCGATCTTGCGCTTGCTGACAAGTTTTTCCTCGAGGAGCATCGGGTTGACCGGAAAGCGGAGCGCATGAATGGTGGTGGGAAGGGTACGACAAAATCTCCCGGAGCTGTCCACCTGGTCCGTCGCGCGGACTATCTCTTGTCGGTCTTGAAGGATAAGATAAGCAACGGTGCTAGCGCTATTGCGAAGAGAGCCGTGGAGAACCATCATCGCAATAACAAAAAGAATAGCCTCCATTCCAGAGGCCATGTGAACGGTAGTGTCTCGGGATCCCCTTCGCCATCCCTCCCTCGCAAAGCCCGCGACTTGGACAAATCGCGATCTCGTGTCCACAAATCTCGAGACAGCGCCGATCTTTCGAACAACCCTACAGGTGACAACAGGCCCAACCACAGTTCTAGCAAACATCGACGTCTGCAGGATCACCGGCGAGACGAAAAGGATCGCGATCGTTCCAGCAAAGCCCGAATCAAGGTCCGCGGGGAGGAGAAAGATCGTCACCGTCGCAACAACGACAGCGCTGGAACCAGTATGGACAACAATAACGATGCAATACTCAAGGTTATTTTCAAGCCCATCCAAGCGCATCTCAAGCAAGTATCTCAGGTCACCAAAGAAAACATCCCAAGCAAGTCGGATCGGGCGGGCGAATTGCGACGGTTGCTGCTTCTCATTGGCCGGTTTATTCGAAGCACTTTGGATGGGAACGAAGCACGAGCTTCGCTAGAAGAGCGGCTGTGGTAAGTAACATATATATTGTCCTTTGCCGCCTACGTTTAATGAAAATGATTAGTCTTCTTAATTTCGTGTACTAACTCAATTATATTAGGGGATTTGCTGCGACCTATTGGCCCAACAAGGCCACACCAGCAGCTGCGCTGCATAACATGTTCGATCGTCTTATGGAGGTTGAGAAGACTGAATCGACCCAACAGCGATGAGACACGGACGCTCTTCATGTCTTTGTACTAGCTACTACTATTTACCCCTATATACGACACCCCTTCTGAGTTGTGTCTTTTATTTCTTTTCTTTTTTCTTTTTCCTTCTTCTTCCTTTTTTTTTTTTTTTTTTTCATAATTTAAATCTCTGTTTGCCTCCCTGAAATGCGCCTCTTCTTCCGGGTGCTAGAGGTTGTAGGCTTCCATTCCTCTGATCCACATCTTATCCATTTTGCACAGCATATATTCTAGTTTGGAGTTTTTCTGCAGGGGATATTTCATACTTGTCACATTCCATTGCGCATACGCATTGCTTTTCTCTCATGTTATTTGAACTTATATTGCTAGACTTACCCAGTTTCATAGTGTTTGGCAGTTTATTATTTTGCCTCCGTTATATTTTTATCATCTTGTTTTAGCTCCTCTATTGCTATTTTTGCTCTGTGATTATTATTATTTCTTAATTTTTTTTTTTTTTTTTTTTTTTTTTTTTTTTTTTTTTTTTTTTACTTTTTTCGCGCCCTTCATGTCAATGATTCGTTCTCCTCTCTTTCTGGCTGCATGGCGACGGTGTTTTCTTTCAATGATAGCCCTTCAGGGAACAACTTTCATGTACTGGATTCTTTGAGTGAGTGTATGAGCGATTTACACGACGAGGTCTATTTATTTACAGTGCTTGTTTCTCCTGGTTTGATTTTCAATTGGTTTGTTTTTCTCTTCCTCCCCTTTGCAGCATGCATCCTTTTCACCCTCCTCGTGGATTTAGATGCCGTGTCTTCTAGCCGCTTCTCTTTTAGAGAGCGAGAGCGAGAGCTTGTGTTGATTACGCAGTTTCTTAAAGTACTCCTTGCCTTTGGTAGATATCATCCGATTATATATCACGGTGCCCCGTACCTTCTTTCCGCTCTTATACATCTTGATTCTCTTGTAATGTATATATCCTCACGTGTTGGGCTATTCCTTGCTGGCTGGCTGGCTATCATGTTGGGGCTTTGTGGACATTTTTAATTATATCTATCTCCTTGCTTTCAGAGGAAGTCAGAAAGTGTTTCTTCCTCCGGTTTTGAGGCGTCGGAACGGCGTAACAATGACAAAATGAGAAATGGCAAGGAAGCTTGGTTCTATTGATTCAGTGTTGGGTTTTCGCCCCTGCTCAGATAGTTATATATATTCCTATTTCATAAGAAGTGGATGATATGAATCGTTCCCAGTCAAGGAACAGGTGTTACGCTAGAGATTGCTTGAAGAGGTGATAGAAAATGGTAATGATCCGTTCTCCGACTGGCGTGGATTTCCAAGGTTCCATCAGTAACTACTGTAATATGATTTTTGATTGTTCGTTGCACGTTTCTCCAGGAGGTAAGGCTTCAAATATTGGTTGGGTTGGAGTCAACGGACGTTTTGCTTAATTTTTTAAGCCCACATCTTGCAAAGGGGGGGGGGGGGGGTGTCAGGAAGGGAAAAATTATGTGTTAACGTATTCTACCCTATAGAAATTATTAAGTCATCAAAACTAACAAGAAAGTAAGAACCTCAGCAATAGCAAGATAATAGAAACTGAAAATCGAATTTGTAAAATGCTAGATTATTTATACAATAATAAATTCATCGAAGC